TAATTACTTTTTGGCTTTTTTTTTGTTTTGTTAGCTTTCTGTGTTTTATTCATGCTCATTTTAATTTTTGTGAGTTTCCTGGAGTCCCAGTTCTGGGAGAAAGTTGGGATATAAAATAAATATAATAAAAGTAACAGTAGTCCATTAAGGCAAATGAGGTGCTGCCCCACCAAAATTCAGCCAGCCCCCACTTCCCTGCCTTCTTACTTACAACTAATCAGGGGAGGCTCTGCCTGTCATTGGCTCTCGCTCCACCCATTGGTCTCTCTACCTTTTGCCCTACCAATCCCAATGGGCACTACATCCGAGGATGCTTCCATCCTTTAGCTCACAGCTCTCTCTGTCTTGCTGTCACATCGCAGCTGCTTTGTCCATTACTTCACACATGCACTCCTACCTTCTGTAAACTCCAATGCCTTTTTTCATTTAAAGCCTCCCAGACTTATTTATCCTTATTCTGAGGTTGCTTTTGAGGGCAAAAACCAGTGTGGTGTAGTAGTTAGTGTGTTGGACCAGGACTTGGGAAACTAGAGCTCAGATCCCCGGTCTGCCATGAAGCTCCATGGGTGATCTGGGGCCAGTCACTGTCTCTCAGCCTAGCCTACTTCGCAGGGTTCTTGTGAGGATAAATTGAGGAGGAAGAGAACCATGCATGCCGCCTTGAGCTCCTTGGAGGAAATGTTGGGGTATCAATGCAATCCTTTGCTTGGCATCCGTCTGTCTCAGGAGACAATGGAGGAGAAGTCAAACTGTTGGCAGGTTGCAGCGCCTGCTGTGGTCGTAGAGACCGATGTAGGAGAGACATGTTTTGTTGCAGCTGGGGCAGACAAAGGCATCCAGTTGACCTGCGGCAGATGAGCGCCCATACCTTACGCCAATCAAGTTGAGCTTATAACTTGTAACTGCTGCCTCCTGCCTTGTTTTTGCTGAAGTTACCTCTCCAGGACACAAGCTCGGGCAGTGTGTATGGAGGTCTTGAGCTGCTTAGACGGCAATAAGGAAATATATTTATTTTTTTGAATTTGAATATATTGCATTTCCTCCTCAAGGAACCCCGGGCAGCAAACAGGTACAATGATTAAAAACAAGCAGAGAGTAGAAACATTCTAAAAAGTTTAAAACATTCTGAAAACAATAACAATTTTAAAAGCATCTATAAGCGGTTGCAGATTTTAAACATTCTAAAAGCAATTACATTTAAAAGCATTCTTCCAGGCAGTGATTATAAGGGGGTTGCCTGATCGGGATGGTTGAAATTTCTCAAGAGTAAACAGAGAGAGTTTTGACCAATGATGGCTGCTGAAGCCTTCAGTGCCAAAAAGCTGTGTTGGGTTGAAAACTGCTGGAAGTCTGTTTCCCAGAAATGTGCATCATTAAAATGTGCTGTCAGGAAATGTTGGCTACCCAGCAAAACAACAAACAGAACCCTGCTCCGCCTTGCAACAGATTCAGTCAATTCCTGTGTTCTTTCATCTGGGAAAGGTAGCAAAACTGTTATTTCTTAACACTCTCATTCCTACCTTAATTCAGGTGTTCTTTTGGGATGCAGATGAACTTGTGTGTCACATTTGAGGGAGTAGAAATGAGAGAACGGGCCTTTTCCACAAAGGCTTCCCCTGCTACAATTATGGGGTGCATTCCCAGGATGCTTTGGGGAAAGAAGCCATGACAGTTTACAGTGGTATGATACTGCTTTAAATCTATAGTCCAAATGAGGCCAATATCATGCTCTGGTCTGACACTAGCTAAGAGAAAGAGGTAACAATGGTCAGATGTTGCAGGACCTCGGATAGCTCCAGGTGAGCAAGACTGGGGCCTCTTCACCCTCACCTGCTTGTAGAGAACTTCAGAGCCTTAAAGGGCTGAACCCTGTGGCCAGGTACTCCTCCTCTGTTCTGCAGCCTCTTGCCTGGTGTGCTCGCTGTGCTGTTGGACCTGTGATGTACTGCAGGAGGCACCTCAATCCTCAGGCTCAGGGGAAGGTTCCTGCGAGGTCCAGGTTCTGGTGGTCTGTGAGGTTCTCCTGGGTGCTCCCAGGTGCAGTGGGTCTCCTGATCCTCAGCAGGTCAATTAAGAGATCCAGCTTCTTAGCTGCTACATCTACAGCAGTGCTTTTCAAACTCTGGTCATAAGCTGTTGGACTACAACTCCCATCATCCCTAGCTGGCAGGACAAATGGTCAGGGATGATGGGAGTTTTAAAGGGTGCTTTAAAGAGATGGGGCTGATAATGTTATGTATAGCGTTTCTACCCTGTATTTTAGCTAGAAAAGCTGGCAAAGTAGCTTAGAAAGGTCTATGACTGGATTGTAGCCTACCGTACAAAAAGTAGAATCGGATCCATTTTCTGCTCACTTTTTGTTCTGGCTCTGACCACCACAGCCATGCGGCCCCCAGAAAGCTTCCTATGAAGGAATGCGGCCCTTGCAGTGACTAGGAGGCCTGGCCTCTGCTATAAAGGATATAGGCATTTGTCCCATTTGAAAAACACTTTCCAACATACATGTGTGTGGGCGTTCTTAGTATGAGCACCCATGGTTTTCTTTTTTGTCATTCCTAATGAAATTCCAGCTTCTGTTTTTTCTTGGCTCGAAGGTCTCTGCTGAGTCAGGTCTTTTTTTAGAGCTTTGGCTGATTACGACTTGTGTCAATATTTACTTAGCGCCTGTCCGATTGTGTGCCTTTCCCATTTCTCCTTTTTGATCTATAATTTCCAAGAACAGAATGCTAAAATAGAGCGTTCTGTGTCTGTGTGTCCATGTGTGTGTGTGCGTGCATTGGGGAGAATCTAAATTATATAGAGGAGAAATATAGGCAGTGTCTGCGTGTATGTGAAGGGGTGAAAAGCCCAGCGCTCAGGACAAGGGTGTTCCCCGCATACCCATCTGCCTTTTCTCTTCGGGCTCCATTCTTTCCCAAATGTATCCAAGCATTTTTCTCCAATCGGACAATGTTTAAAGAGCTTTATCCAAGCAAATAGAGAACACTGGTTCTATATCCTGGTCTGGGCCTTGCTCTTCTTTGCAAGGTACTGCTCATTATCAACAAATAGTTTTGCCCCAGCCCTGCAAATGCTTCAACCAGGGGAGGGGGAACTTTTTTTCAGTCCAAGGGCCACATTCACTCAGGGGAAACCTTCTGGGAGCCACATTGATCACTACAGCACACAGAAAAGGACCGTTAGCAAAGTCTCTTCAATAGCGTAGACTGAGTCCAGGGGGGGGGGGGAAAGAAATCTTGACAACTCTTTACTGAGCAAACTGAATGAAAACAGTGTATAATTTGATGAGAAAGGAACAGAGAGTGTTTTGTTTTTCTTAGCTCAGGCTTTGCACATAGCTGGAAGGCATGCAACAGAAACATACAGAGGAAAAACTTCCTCAGAACTATGCAGCTAATCGGAACTCATGCTACCACAGTGAAGATCAAGCCACTCTCTGCCTGGTTGCCAAGCAACACCTCCACATACATCCTTGGTTGGCATGATTTAATATTAACAGAAACAACCCTTAAATTGCCTATTGAATGGTCCCTACTGTTGGACTTCCATCAAGGACAAGTGGGGTTATGGCTTGGAATAAAGAGGAAGTTCCTTCCCCGCACAATGCCATTTTGAATAGGTGCAAGATTCTACACTAGGGTCTTTCTGTAGTTTGGATTTAACACAGTCCTCCTCTCTTCACCCTGGGACTTGCAGCTTCCCAAGGGGGAAGCTAGGCAGCCTTAGCAAAGAGATCTCACTCACAAGCTAAGCTACAATTCCCAACACACTTTGCAGAGCGCAGGTCCCCCTATCAGCAGACAGCATTCTTGGGTAGCTTCTAGGTCCCAGGTGGCAGTGACACCTGCCCTGGGATGGGCAAAGGGACTCGAGGTAAATGGCTGAATCTGGGAGCTGCCCACTATGCCAGCTTTCCGCAGTACTCCTCCTCCTGGTGTAGTGTGGCTCCAGGATGTTGTAGAGAAACCAGTTTCAGCCTGGAAGGCTGCTCAAGAAGGAGCGTGGCTCTTGGGGTGAAAAAGTTCCTCCACCTTTGCCGTAAGTTTGCAGCTTGGTGCTGGAGGTCTTAGCTGACGCCTTGAATTCTCGGCCAAAGAAGCAATGGTTAGCCTCCAGTTTGGGAAACTCTAGCTTCTTCACAGATCTAGCTCCAACCATAAGCAAAACAGACAGGCCCCCTTCATGAAAGGGCCATAGCCCAGTGCTTTGTTTGCAGAAGGTCCCAGGTTCAATCCCCAGCATCTCCAAGGAAGAACTAGGAGGTGGCAGAATTGGGGGCAGGAGGGAAGGCCTCTGTCTTGGAAAGCTACAACCAGTCAGATTAGATAACACAGTGTTAGATGGTCCCATAGTGTGACACCTCCTTCTATCCTCCCTATAGATTGGGTCATCAGGGTAATTCCTCTGTGCATTGCGAGTGCTGGCCATCAAGGAGAGCCAAAGGCCCATCTAGTGGCCAGTCACATGCTTCTGGGAATCCTACAATCAGAGCGTGAGGGCAATAGCCCTATCCTGTTTTAGTGTCGCAGCAAGGGCTAAAATCCAGGCTGTGTCACCAATGCAAACCTAGTGGTATTCCTAAACCGGTGACGGACTGGTTAAAAGCAGCCTGTCCGTAGACTGCTGGACAAGCGTCAAGGCGGTTGCTGCTGTATTGCTACATTAGCAGCAGGCGGGGAAATGCAAAGAGCAGAACTTGCCTGAGGTGGCTGGGCGGACCTTTGCCTCCCCAGACGTTCACCAGCAAGCATGAGGATGAACAAAGGTAAGGGGAGAATGTTGTGTTTTCCAACGATTCCTTTCTGTGCGTTTTGTTAGAGCTGTGCAAGGCAGGTCTCCGAATGAGTGCAAGTCAGCCTCCCTGCCTCCTCCTCCTCCCCAACTTGGAAGAGCAGGTGGGCTACTGTGATGAGCGAGAGAATCAAAAATCAAGGGGCTCGAGGAGCGCCTGTAACAATCTGGGACTTTTTAGTTTGGCAGACAAAGTAAGGAACGGTATGGAAAGGTGTGCAAAATTATTTGTTGTGTGGAGAAAATAGAGAGAGAAAAGATTTTCTGCCTCTCTCGTAATGCTAGAATTCGGGAACGTTCAGCGGAGTTGAGCGGTTGGGAGGTTCAGACAGACAAAGTCCTTCTTTGCACAGCACACAGTTAGACTGTGAAATTTGCTCCTACAGGATGCAGGGATGGCCAGCAAATTGGATGGCTTTAAAAGAAGTCTAGACAAATTTATGGAGTAGATGGCTCTCACTGGCTACTATGGGAGGAAGTATGCCCCTGAGTGCTAGTTGCTGGAAATCAGAAAGAGAGCAAGTGAGAGCGGGAAGGAGAGCTTTTGTGCTCAGGTTCTGCTTTTGGGCTTCCGATAGGGGTTTCGTTGACCCCTAGACTAGATGGATGCTGGACTAGGTGGGCCTTAGTTCTGATCCGGAAGGGCTCTTCTTCTTTCCTTACGACTGGTCATCCTAACACAGAGAGAAATTGCAGCTGGTGACCTAAGGATAGAAGGAGCTCTCTCTTCGAGGTGAACCACACAGGCCTTTGGCTCTGAATCACCTGTATTCAGATATTGTGATATGCCCACAAGAACGTAAGAAAATCCCTTATGGATCTGACCCAAGGCCCATCTAGTCCAGTTTCCTGTTCTCATGGTTGCCAACCAGATTCCTAAGGGAAGCCTCCAAGCAGACCTGAGGGTGGCAGCAGTCTCCCCACTTTAGATTCCCAGCAGCTGGCATTCGGAGGCACCAGGTTGGCCCAAGGCATTTTGGCACCTGAGGCAAACCACACAACATGCCACTCCCCACCAGGGAAGAAGGGGTGAGTGAAGATCTACACCTGGGGAAATCAAATCACCTCATAGCTGAGGGAGAATCAAAGGATGTTGCTGGAGGGAAAGAAGCCACACCCAGGGCTGTCCAAGGATTTTTGGGGGTGTTACACCAGCACAGCTTGTTTCCCCCCTGGTTTGAGAGCTTCTGTCACTGTCTGTCCCACAGGATCAGTGTTGGCGTTGACTCTCATTTGGCTGTTGGCAGCAAGGTCTCAGCCCCTCGAAGCGGGGGCCACCAACGAACAGGCCAGCCCCGAAAAGCAGAAGTGTCCCAGCCTGTGTGGTTGCAGTTACGACGAACGCAATGATGAGCTGAGTGTCTACTGCAGCTTGCGAAACCTCACCAGCCTTCCCGAAGACGTGCCCAGGGCCGTGAGGATGTTGTGGCTGGAGGGAAACAATTTCACTTCCTTGCCAGCTCTTGCTTTCAGGAACCTCTCCAGCCTGGAATTCCTCAACCTTCAGGGCAGCCACCTGTCAAGCATCGAACAGCACGCCTTCCACGGCTTGGAGGAACTCTACTCCTTGCTCCTCCAACACAACCGGCTGAAGTCGCTGGCGCCCAACATCTTCCTCCATCTGCAGAACCTGGTTTCCCTACATCTCAACAACAACCAGTTTAGCAAGATTGAGGAAGGTGTGTTTGCTGGGCTCTCCAATCTCTGGTACTTGAACCTCGGATGGAACTCCCTGGTGGTCCTGCCGGACAAAGTGTTTCACGATCTACCCAACCTGCGGGAACTGATCCTGGCTGGGAACAAGCTCCACTATCTCCAGCACCAGCTCTTCTACAGCCTCAGTGAGTTGAAAGAGCTGGATCTGAGTGGGAATTCCCTGAAGGGCATCAAGGGCAACATCTTCACGAAGCTGCAGAAGCTGCAGAAGCTTTACCTCAGCCAGAACCAAATCAATGCCATCGCCCCACGGGCTTTCATGGGCATGAAGTCTCTGCGATGGTTGGACTTGTCCCACAACCGCCTCACCATGCTTTTTGAAGACACGTTTGCGGGCCTTTCAAGCCTGCATGTGTTGCGCCTCTCCAACAATTCCATTGCCAGTCTGAGGCCAAGGACCTTCAAAGACCTCCAGTACTTGGAGGAGCTGCAGCTGGGGAACAACAAGCTCAGAAGCCTGCCGGAAAGGGCCTTCGACAAGCTGAGTCAACTGGAGGTTCTCACGCTCAACAACAACCATATCCAAGAGATCAGGGCTGGGGCTTTCCTTGGTCTTTCCAACATGGCAGTGATGAACCTCTCTGGGAACTGCCTTAAGACACTCCCAGATTTTACCTTCAGGGGACTCAGCCAGCTGAACAGCCTCCACTTGGAAAACAGCTGCCTCAGCAGGATAAGGCCACAGATGTTCTCTGACCTTTCCAGTCTCCGGAGGCTCTTCTTGAGACACAACGCCATCTCAGAAATGGAGGACCACAGCCTGAGCGATTTGCACGAGCTCCTTGATCTGGACCTCAGGCACAACCAGCTGAGCAGCCTCTCCCCAAACCAGTTTGCAGGCCTCCGGAACTTAGAATACCTCCTCCTGTCCTCCAACCAACTGCTAGACATCTCTCCTGAAGCCTTCACTCCACTTCTGCGCCTCTCCTGGCTTGACCTCTCCAGCAACTGTTTACAGGACCTGGAGAGTGACATCTTCCGCTCCTTCCCCAGGCTGGGATATCTGAACATCGGGAACAATTCACTCAGAACCTTTTCGGTGGATTGGCTGAGCCCTTCGCTCGTCCAACTGTGGCTGGAAGGGAACAAGTGGCAATGCAACTGCTCGCTGAAAGGACTTAGGAACTTTGCCCTGCAGCACCCCAGTGTTGTCTTGCGGTACACGCAGTCCATCACAGAAGGAGATGCTCCTGTATATACTTACAACAACATCACTTGCCTTAGCCCCGGGGAGGTAGCAGGACTTGATCTTCGGGACATCCAAGACACCCATTTTGCCGATTGCTAAATACTGGTACTTTTTACTTGGTTTCCCCTGCCCCGCCCCCCACAAAAAACGCTTTCTGTATAGCTGGTGTCAGCATGCTCTCCTGGACCCCATGATTTGACAAAATGGATCTCTTGCAGGGGTGGCCCTCAGCCTGATTTCATATGGCCCTTGGGCCTTTGCAAGCGATCAATGAAGACTCCTGGCAAGAGAGGACTGTCCTTCCACTGGTGGGAAGAGAAGGGAGGGAGGTGACAGAAAGAAAGAAAAGAGGGTGGCCCCATTTTACCCTTTTCCTTTCTCCACTACCAGTTTTGGGCCCACTCACAGCGGCCCCTGACGGATTGCCCCAAGCGAAGGCAGCCCTCAACAGAAAAAGGTTGCCCAATGCTCATCCCTGATCTATTGGGAAAGAGGGGTGGATGGTCCCACCTCTGTGCCTTTCAACACCCCCTTTCCACTTACTTTCTGGACGTGCTATCCCCTGGAAGGGGCAGCCTGTGGGGTGGGTGGGATGATTTTCATAAGGTTTCCATTTCAGCAGGCAGTCCCAGGGGTGTGCGTGTGTGTTTCCTCCCCCAACACTAGTAGGACAGTTACAGGTAGGTAGCCGTGTTGGTCTGCCATAGTCGAAACAAAATAAAAAAATTCCTTCCAGTCTCTAAGGTGCTACTGGAAGGATTTTTTTTTATTTTGTTTCAACTATTAGGACATTTATCCTCCTCTGGCACCTTCAGAACTGCACTCCTGACCACAAGAGCCTGACACAATGTACTTGACATGCTCAATTCCAAGTCGAGTAACCAAACAGGGGCTCGGCAGGTGCAGGAAACGCCACAATGTGGCAGGTGCTCCATGTGGCAATATATACCCATCAGGCTCGGCACCAGCAGGTGGCACCCTTGGGCAATTGCCAGGGCCCTGAGGTCTTAACAGGACCCACCTCTGGCAGGTAAGCATGTCGGGGGGAGGCTCCGATGTAGGAGGCAGATCCAATACATATAGAAATGTAGGAAGCTGCCTTACCCTGAACCCAGACCATTAGTCCATCTAGCTCAGTATTGTCCACACTGACTGGCAGCAGCTCTCCACAGAGTTCCAGGCAGGGGTCTGGACCTGAGACCTTCTGCATGCATAGCAGATGCTCTGTGACTGTGCTAGGATGGATATGGTGTCAAAATCCCCATGGGAGCTTTTTGGCAGCTTTCCCCATGGGTGCCACATACTCTTATAAACCGCAACAGGTTAATAAACTTTCAGAGCTATGGCAGAGCCTTTTGGTTTTTCTGTTGATGCTTCGTCTAAATAGGAACCACGAGATCTGAGCTATGGCTGTAATGTAGGTAAGTAGATAAAGCGAGCTGCTTCAAAACTTCTTGTGCCTGGAGAAAACAAATCAACGAGTGACATCAACAACATAAATACTGTGTTGTAAAAATGCAGAGACCAATTGCAATTCATTTCTCCATCTCACCCAGGCAGAATCTCTGGAGAGAAAGCAAAAGGCACATGAAGGATTGTCTCATTATGTTCAGACATCTCATTCAATTGGTGTGAATTCTGTTTACGAATACACAATCTTTGTTATGCTCCACCTCTGCTCTTGGAGGCAGTATGACTCTGAAGGCCAGTTGTTGGGAATTGCAAGTGGGAAGAGTGCACTCAGGTCCTGCTTATAGAATTGTAGAGTCGGAAGGGACCCTGGGGGTCATCTAGTCCAACCCCCTGGATTCCCCCCCCCCAACATGGTGCTCAAACCCATGACCCTGAGTGCTTGTGGGCTTCCCAGTGGGGGAGCTGGTTGGCCCCTGTAAGAACAGGATGTTGGACTAGATGGGCCTTTGGCCTGATCCAACAGGGCTCTTACGTTCTTAACGGAGCTTGCAGATAACTTCCTTCTGGATTTGCATCCAGAGAGGCATAGATTCCCCCCCCCCTAGATCAGCCACGTTTTTGCAACAGCCTTTGAACAAGAAAATTGTGACCTCAAGCAGATGCTGACCATGGGACCCTCCTCTCCAGGCAGACATGCTATCACCTAAATTGCACAGGCCAGATGCAATAAAACGTTTAGTGCTTGGGAACCAGTCATGGCCAATCAAAATTCAGAAGATTTTTGATTTTTTTATCTCATTGACCTACAGTTCTAATCTGTTAGATGATACCATTCTAGATAGTCTAAGAAGTGCTGGTTGTGGAATTTCTGCTTTGGGGAATTGTGGTTATCAAAATGGTGCAAGTAGATTTTATTTTTCTGGTTGAGACTGCTGATTGATCTTATTGATTCAGAGACTGGAAATATCTCACACCTAATAGTGAACTCGGACGATGAGCGTTGACAGAAATAAAGCTAAAACAGGCCTCACTGATTCATGAGTATCTGCCTACTTGCAGGAGCCCCAAGAGTTGCAAAAGTACAGGGGGGAAATGCTTAACATAAATACAACCCCAACAAAAAATAATAAGAAGCAGCTCAATCACCATGGAATATTGAATATCAGTTGTAAAGTCAGGAGAGGAAAATAACAATAAATATCTCATTGACCTGCGGTTCTAATCTGTTATCGATTATGTCATTCGAAATAGTCCAAGAAGTACTGGTTGTGGAATTCTGCTCTGGGGAATTGTAGTTATCAAAACTGTGCAATTAGATTTTATTTTTTCTGGTTGAGACTGCTGATTGATCTATAATAAAGGCAGGAGAGGAAAATAACAAGAAAGAGGGGAGAGGAAGACTGGACTGCCCTACCAGGTGGTTGGAACTTGGAAGCCCAATGTACAAAAGGGAACAAGTGTAGAGATCCCCAAACTCGGACCTATACAGATGCAACATGCGAGAGGTGAGAATGACACAGAGCAGGTTGGAGGGCCCTTGGAACTCCTTCATTAGCCCAGCAACCTCTCCTGCTCACCCATCTACTAAGGCTTGGGGATAAAAATCCCTCCTGTTGGAGCATGGCATGTGTGCATGTACACATGTGGCATAAAGGATTGTGCAGTGGCCACCCCCTCGCTACCAGCTCTGGCCAAGCTCACTTGAGCCACACTCCCTGCTGGTGATCAGTCCCTGGATGTTTAGCAACAAGGTAACACAGAACTTCAGGCAGCTGCTGAAATTATGGCACAAAAATATGGGAGACCCTTATTTTATACATTATTCTAAATAATACAGATTGACTGCTCAGTCAGAAAAATCTCTAAATGATGCATCTCTAAGCAGCAACAGCGGATTCCATAACTCCCATCACTTGACAATCCCTAATTTTAGGCAAATGGCAGGACCTACAAATCCAAATTGAGGAGCTTGTGGGACACATACACACAAAAGCTAAGGCTGCTGGGGCTCCCAGTGCCACCTGCCCCCCCCCCATTAACGCAAGCACTGATATAGACAAAGGTTCTTCAACTTTGGGTCCCCTCATATGCTGCCAGACACCAGGGATGATGGGAGTTGTAGTCCACCACATTTGGGCTGATGGGGCAAGACAACTCAGCCCTAAAACAAATAATGGGCATGCATGTTTTTTAAAAAAGCACACAGATGTCTTGACTGCAGCAAATATGATTTATTGGATGTGGGTTGCTCAAGATGACCGACTCACAACTGAATTCTGCAGAGCAGTCAAGGAACTGCTGGCGGAGGCTTTCGCGAGGACTGCTGCATCACACAACACATGCTGAACTGAGTTCACAAGGTGGAAGGCAGGGAGCGCTAGAGTGCCAGCGTCCTGCTGGTACTTCTCTGCTCTTTGGGTGTGTGTAAACTTCTCATTTGTCCTGCCTGAGCAAGGGAGCAGAAACACCATCTGGTCGAGATCCTGGCCTTCGAAAAACTGAACAAAGGGCTAAAAACAAACAAACCCACCAGTGGGTGGACCACTCCAAAGCAGACACTGCAGTCACTCATACGGAAGGCAAAAGCTGCTGCAGACAAGGCGCTGTGTTCTGTCCAAATCCAGTCCCTCTGAGTCCGTCGCTTTCCGAAAAGCCTTCCCCTGCCTTGTTGAGCCTTCTCAAAAGCTGCCCCATTTCCTGGGCAGCTTCTCTCGCTTCTCTTGGTGCAGCGAGGAAGATGCTGGGTGCCCGTCGATTCCAGCCTGTGCTTCCGGTTCAGGAGCTGCAAGCGGACGCCCCAGCCAAGATCTGCCGGGCGATGTCGGCGAGCGCAGGGAACGCCAGGCTCTTGGGAAATTCCTGGAGGAAGTCTCTGCCTTGTTCCAAGCTCTGGCTGAGCTGGGGGTCCAGGGGCACGCACCCTGTGCAAGAAGGTGGGGTTGCAAGAAGGCAGGAGAGGTTTAAGAGGGAAGAGGGAGAGAAGGTGAAAAGAGGAAAGATGGGCAGGCTCTCCCATCTCCCAGACAACAGCTGTATACTGACCAGCAATGAAGCTCTAAGTACAGGGATGGGGAGCTTGTGGGCCCTTCAAAGGCTGTGGGGTTACACCTCCCATGATCCCCGACCAAGTTCTATGCCGGCTTGGGCTGATGGGAGTCCAACGACAACTGGGTCACAGGTTCCCTGTCTCAGCTGTATCCAGCTAAGAGATCAATTTCTTTTCTGGGAAATGATCTATAATGAAATGAAAAAGGTACTTAAAAGTACCTTCTCTAAAAAACCAGAGGCCTTTCTCTTGGGCATTGTCGGCCAATTGGTGCCAAAGAGTGATAGAACTTTTTTTATGTACGCTACAACAGCAGCAAGAATACTTATCGCAAAGTATTGGAAGACACAAGATTTACCCACTCTGGAAGAATGGCAGATGAAAATGATGGACTATATGTCATTGGCTGAGATGACAGGCAGAATACGTGACCAAGGAAAAGAGACGGCGGAAGAAGAATGGAGAAAATTTAAAAGTTATCTTAAGGACTATTATAAACTTGATGAATGTTAGAATGTTATGGTTTTCAGAAACAAAGGGATACAGTGATATAAGGTCAGATTATAGAGATAACTAAGGACAGAGGTTGGAAAGTAATATTGGGAGTTGCTATAAAACTATGGACATTGGGATGCAGAAAGGGGGGGGTATGGGGGAGTCTGAGAAAAGAGGGTTATGAGAAACAATATGAAATTATGCGTGTTTGTATGTTTTTTGTTTTTTTTTTTAAGTGTCTGTTTGTCTTTAAAATTTTGTAAAACCAATAAAAAATTAAAAAAAAAAAAAAGAGATCAATTTCTTTTCTTGAGGGTGAAAGTCGAGACTAAAACTGTAAAAGATTCTGCGGCTACAGTGGGAGAGGAAGCCCCTTTGCAGAGGATGCGAGTCATCTGGCACAGGGCTCAGCAGCCGTTTCTGACACTTTGAATCACTGTGAGTTCGTACTGAATTGAAATTAATTGTTTGATTAACTTGTTTTGGGGTGGGATGGTTTGTTTTGCCTTATGGGGTTGTTGAGATGATTATAATCACTGTAATGTTTGCTAATTTTAATGTTATTGTCATCATTGTGACCTGCTTTGAGCTCAACGTGGTTACAGGAGCAGCGGAATTTGAGTATTCAATCATCAACTCAGTTTTCCCAGGGCGGTTCCTCTAGCTGGCTCCTCTAGCTGACTCCATCTATTGCAGCTCTGTCCTCCTTTGCTTTGGATCTGTCCCGTGATGCCCCCTGTCAAGCTCCAGACTGACACAGCCTTATGGCCGGGATCTTTCTTAACCGTATTTAAAGTGTTATGTGGATATCAAAGTCACAAGAAAACCACCATCACAACTTTTAATGCTCTCCTAGAGGGTACTCCGGATAAACTCACCTAGGAATGGGACCTCGGCATGCTTGGCCAGCTCCTGTCCACCTCCTTTGGAAAAGACATTGGTGCATTCCTAGAACAGAAGAGGAAGCATAATTCTAGAGGGAAAGTGGGGAGGAAATTCTGGAGGAAAGGTGGGGTGTAAATAAATTCATATAAATACAGAGGTACCTCTAGTTGAGGACACGATCCATTCCGGGGTGCTGTTCGCACCCCGAAAAGTCTGCAACTAGAGTGGCGCTTCTGCGCATGAGGCGAAACCTGGAAGTATACACTTCTGGGTTTGCCGCATTCGCAAGCCGAAAAGAAGCAACTTGAACCTAACGCAACACGAGGTATGACTGTATGTATTTATATACCACTATATCATAAAAACAGCAAAGCAGCTTACAATAATATCTATTGTAAT